AAAATCACAAAATCTCAACAGTAATATAAGTAAAATTAGGTGCTCAAACAATCTATGCTAGCACATAAGTCGGAGTCGCCTAATGCGACCTATATGACTGAACTGATGCTTATCAATCTATGCTAGCACACGAGTCGGAGTTGCGTAATGCAACCTATACGACAGGACTGGGTGTAATCATAATATCTACTTTAGTGCTACAATCACGTGAAGACTGACGTTATTCATGGTCACCTACGAGTTAGAGTTGCCAAATGCAATATGTACGACAGGACATGCACCTACGTGGATCCAGGACGAGCGTGCAGTGCGGAGGTGAACATACACGTGAAAGACTGGCCCTGACCCTAGGCGAGCACTAACACCGGGGTGCAACAATGATGAGCAGACTACACATATATAAGCATGCCATAACAATTCAATAATTTTAGTCAACATAATAAACTTACCTGCGCATCCTGTAGGATTTAGCATATTTCATAAATTCCGTCATTTCGCTAATTCTAATCAACTTTAGTCTAATCCAGACGTATGTAAGAAATTCTTTTTCAATGCATAAATGGAAACTATCAATTATATATATATATATACACACACACACACACTATAAAAAGGAAAAGACTCACTCACCTCAAGTCTGCGCTACAACTCCTTAGCATAAATATCGAGGCATCACGAACAATCGTCGCCTAGAATAATTATCAAATAATGTCTCAGAATTCTTATCGATAGAACATGTAACTTACATAAAAACACATCCCTAAGGACGTTCTAGAATGATTTGTAACCCATTGACCAAAAATCAACCGTTGGTCAAAGGTCGACGGTAGGGTCCACAACCCTACATAACTCAATTCGAAAGATCCGTATGTCGGATTTCCAAACCAAAACTTCCTAAGGGTTTCAATAAGCTTCTAGAACAACATCATAAAGTTTCGGAACAATTCAACGGTCGGATCTTCGCCAATAGCTAAAATTAAGTGGCGGTCAACGTTTTATTTTATGAACTTACAAATCCAATTCAAGAAGATCCGTACGTAGGATTCCCGATCCGTAAGTTCCTAATGTCCTCCCATTGGATCATCAATTGCTATAATATTCAAGTCGCAGACCTTAATGAAGTTATACCCAAACAATGGAATTCCGTCAATCAGATGTCAAATATGGAATCAGGGCATCCAAATTAGCCTAGGATAGGCAGGTCGGGTCTTAACCCACGCACCGCCGCCCCGACTCACTAGAAAAATTAACTATTTTAAAAAATTACCAAATTTTATAGAAATGAAGATCACAATGAGTAGATCAAGTTTTATACCTGTGGCCAAGTCCAATTTGATCGGCAAAAGCTCCAATTTCCCTCGAACTCACTGGAAACCCTAGAAATGGGTGGCTTTGATCTGTCACCTTCGATGCTCCACCACCCTTATAGTTGTTTGGGCTTTGTTCTAGGCCTCAAGGGGTGTCTAATGGTGGTGGTGATTGACATGATACCATTCAGAAATGGTGGGATTTGTCGTCGTGGATTTCGGGAAGAACATGTTCGTTCCTCGAGTTTCCTTTGAGAAATAACATAAAAACTCGTCGATACTTAGGTGGAAATTGCAGGAGGGATGATGAGAAGACGTTTACAGGTGGTGGCGAACTTCATCTTGTCGGAAAATCGCCTGAATTCGAGGTTGTTACTGTTGGGTCAACAATCGGGTCACGCGGGTTATTCTCCGACCTGACCCGCTGGCTCCCTCATTTTCTTTCTCTCATTTTTCTCCTTTCTCTCCTCCCTGATTGGTCCATCCCCCTTATGTTCTCTTATTCGTCCCACTTCCCTAATCGACAAGGCTCTCTTCTCCTCCTTTTGGTCATTCTCCGCCACCTCATCTTTTCTTCTTTCTCTTCTAATATATATAAAAAATAATATAATAATTTTGAAAAATATATAAAATAATAAATAGTAATCTTTACAAAAGTACTTTTCGGATTTGTAGTTCTGTAAAAACTTCGTCGTAACCCTAGCTTCGATTTTGTTTACGCCTACACATTCGTACTGTCAAGTACTTTGAGTATACGGTAAAGTGATAGCCCATACACATCACGAATAACGGTCAACGAAAGTCAACGATCTCGCCTCTAGTGACATTTTCATAAATTCACTCTTTTGAAATTTATAAAATTGTAAAATTAGGGACGAGTCGTCACATTAATACCAATTCTGAAAAAGTTTTAGCTAAAATATCATAACTTTAGTTTAGGTACCAATAATAAAGTAAACCAAAATAAATTTATAAATATTATTCTAATTCAACATAATTACATGATTTTCACTCAATCCTACCATATTTTATGACTGCCAATTTTTTCTAGCGTTCGAGCAATCAAATTTTTTGGTAATTGACTGATCAAATTTTGCGATCTCAAGGTTAGTGTCAAAGAATGACTTTTTAAAAAAAAAAGTAATTCTCTAATTTTATTGTATATACACGTTAAAATACAATAAACTCATGCAACACATATAATTAAAAATGAAAAAGTTGAATCTATTGCTATTTTATCATTGTTGAAAAATGACATAATGGGGGCAAAAATGTAAATACATTTATGCTTATGATGTCTTCGCCTACAAATTCCGGCCTAATTAAAGAACTAGTCTCTTTCCACACATCTCCGTGTGGCAATTTGCTCTTTTACATCTTATTCTTTACTTGTAATTTTTTTTTGTTTAAAATATTTTTTATTTTCAAAAATTACAAAAATAAAGAAAAATACTGCCCAGAACATGGGTAGTTTTATTATGTTAGTTTGGATATTTTTAAAATTAAATTGATTTTAAAATTTTAATTAAGGAGGGTTAATTTTGAAATTATGAATGTTTCACTGTTTTTTTTTGTCTTCGCCTTATAAATGTAGATGAGTTGGGCTTGGTAATTTTGCTTAAAATTGGTATTTAACTGAATTTTCTCGTTGAATTAAGCAATATTCTTTATCTTATTTTGTTTCTACTAGCCTCTTGGAACACGGAAATTGGCCTCTTTATATTAAATTGTCTTTTAGATTTTTTATTTGAATAATTGATTTATATTTTTTCTATTAAAATTTATTCAAAAAAGAAAATGAAGGAAAGCCATGAAACTACTATTTTGTCCCTCATTAGTTGGATGATAATGTTTTGAATTTTTAATTAGTGGACTTTATATATAAAAAATAAAAAATTAACATCAGATTTTTCTATGTGGAACAGTCTAGTAAAAAGTGAAATGTTCCATAAATAAAACCTAGTAATAAAATTAGAATACAATTCATAATTTAACCTCATGATTTCTTCCTATTCAAAAATTGCAAACATAACCCTTCGATTGTGTGGTAATTTTATCTACACAAATCTATATCAAGTTAATTGCTATTTAGTTTATGGGGCATTTTTGTGTGCTTCTTTTTTGCTTAAGTGGATGAAAAGTAGATGTCACATATGCTATTTAATTCGAAAAATGATTTTATTTATTTCCCGTAGAATATGTGTAAATCAACGTGTGTTATGTAGTCTTCGTGCAAACTAACTAAATACACCATGAGAAAAAGAACTCTTTCATTTTGGTTCATACGTATTCTAATATTGGCTCGTTTGAAAGTACTTTTAAAATAATTAAAAACACTTTTAGAGAAAATACTTTGGAGTTCTAAAGAATATTTTCACTAAAAACATTTAGGGTTCCAAAAGCACTTGAAGTGCTTATCCAAGATTCATTTGTATTTTTACTAAGGCTTGGATCCAAAAACATTTTCACCAAAAGCTTTTCAGTCATTTTAAAAGCACTTCCAAACGAGTCTATATATCTAAGCTACCTATTTACAAAATCTTTTTTGTCAGCCAAAAGAGGGTGTAAAAATAATTTAGTCTTATATCATAAAAATAAAATCATGAACAACAACGTAATTTTGCAAAAACAATTTTTTTTAAAATTCTTTTACTTTCCTCACTAACATGTCATCATAACATATCTCTAATTTTAAAAATATAAATATAAACTTCTCCCAACTGTCACTCCCTCTCTTTTTTGTATTTCCCTTTAACTTCTCTATGTCCCATATACTTTAAAAGAAAACTGAAAAAGAAAAGTTTCTGCTTCACACACAAAGTGTGTAGGCTTAGGCTAGTTTCACATTAATTAATTTTAGTACAACAATATATTTATAGGGGTAAGAGGATTGGAACTAAATCACACAATAGGATTGCCATATTAATTTAGTATCTCATAATTCATGAGATTTGAACCTAATATATTTTACTTATAAGTGGAAAAAATAACACGAAACAATAATACGGCGCCATATCAAGTTAAACTACTCAAATATGACATGGATAGTGCTACTCACACACCCATTTTACCACACACACTTCTTTGTTAATTTTTGGTTATTGATATTCTTTAATTCATTCGATTTTACGACTAAAAGTTGAGAGAAGTGTGTGAGAAATAAAAACAGGTGTGAGGATAATACTACCCATATGACCAATTAACTTTTTTTATTCTTTCCAAAGAATAAGTCTTATTAAATTATAATTAAAATGTTTAAATCTTCAGTTAAAATATTAAAAAAATATTCTGGACCAATACGATCCCAGCTAAAAGAACCTGTAGTTTTATGGATAAATGTTTTACAAGTGCCTATGCCCTATCAACATGGTTAAACATCTATGCAGCTTACAGCTCTCATTTTTTTGGATTTATTTCCTCATGTAGCTTTGGTTTTGGATATTATTCTTCCTTTTTTTGACAGTTTTGGATATTAGCTTGGTTTTATAAAACTCAATTATTGAAAAAAAGGGTTTTGTAATTTCTGACGTGACGTGGAAAATACCGCTGACCCACTGAGAAAATGGAAGTTAGTATTTAAATGAAAAACAATGAAGTACGTGGCATCACCTAATAGCTGCCGCTCCTCTCTCTCTCTCTGCTCTTTTGGATCGTTCTTCCTCTCTCTCTCTCTCTCTCTCTCTCTCTCCTGTGTTTCTCTGAAATGTTAATTTATAAATTCTCCTTTCTTCTCTGATCTCTCTCTCTCTCTGTCTTCCTTTTTTCTCTCTCTGCGTCTTCAACATTTCTCTCGTTCACTCACATTTGCCTGAAGTTTAGGGTTTTGTTACAGACGAAATTCTCCCTATTCACCCCTCGCTCTCTCTCTAACATACACCCAGTGAGATTAGGAAACCAAAACATTGAAGCTTCAGAGGTACGTCTTCTTCTTCTTCTTCTTCTTCTTCAAACCAATCAAAATTCCAACATTCCCGCGATTTCTCACAGGGCGATCTATTTTGCCTCCGATTTTCTGAATTGGGTATTTGTAATTTTGTTTTTAGGGGTGTGCGTTTGCGACCTATGAATGAGTTTTGATTTTGATTTAGGTCGGTGCTTACTGTTTCTTCGATTGTGTATTTTCTATATACGGAGTCAATTTGGGGGTTTGATTCTGGATTGCTATAGAATTAGAATGTGAATGTTGGTTAAGTTGCAAACTTTTTATTTATTTATTTATTTAATATGTTAGTTTTGACTTTTGGGGTTGGAAATGGAGTGTTAAGGTGTAGGTGAGTGGTGGGAATGGAATAGAGGGGGTAGAGGTTGGTGCTTGGGTGCCCTAGTGTCGCATTTGATAGGCTAGTGATGACGGATTTTGAGCCGTTACAACAGAAGCCGGAATCTGCTGATGCCTGTGCCGATTTTGAGCGTGGATTTGAGGAATTCATGCGGGGGCACTTGGATGAATGTATGTCATTTGCATCATGTAGTTCTCCTCGTAATCCTGATGATGAAGATGACGAGGGTGAGCAGCTTGTGCGGAGGAGACGGAGGTTGGATCTGGAGGGTGATGATTTAGCAGAGTCATCTGCTGCACGGCGACACCACTCGCGGATTCTGAGCCGTTGGGCTGCGCAGCAGGCGCAGGAAATGATAACAACGATTGAGAGGAGGAATCGTGAATCAGAGTTGATGGCACTTGCAGGCCTGCACACGGTTTCGATGCTTGACTCCTCGTTCTTGAGGGAGTCACAGTCTCCTACCTCAAGGCGGCAGGGGGCTGTTGAGAGGCCAAGTACTCAGGCATCAGCAATATTGCAAATGTGGAGGGAATTAGAGGATGAGCATGTGTTGAATAGAGCGCGTGAAAGAGTGAGGGAAAGGTTGAGGCATAGGAGGAGTGTTGAGTCTAATACTAATGACTCGACCACAAATATGTCTGATAGTCGGGGGAGTGAGAATCAGGGTAGTTTGGCGGATGCAAGTGAGAGTGAGAATGAGTTTGGAACTTGGTCACATGATCAAATAGGTTCACAACGTGAACACGGTGCCAATGACGTGTCTAGTAGAGAGCAATCTCCTGATCTTGGTGAAGTGGAGAGGGAGAGAGTGAGTCAGATTGTACGGGGATGGATGGAAACTGGCATTGGTGATCGTTCATCCAATGTTGCTCAGAGAAACACTAGTCCCAGAGCAGAGTGGCTTGGTGAGACAGAGCGTGAAAGGGTGAGAATTGTTCGTGAGTGGGTGCAAATGGCAAGTCAGCAAAGAGGAGCTCGTGGGGGCCAGAGGGATGATCAAGTTGCCAGTGGTGGTGCTCAAGTTGATCGAGCTCGTGACGGGACGGTTGCTGACCATGAAGAAGGCCAACCAGACCACATTCGCAGGGACATGCGGAGATTTCGTGGAAGACAAGCTCTAATTGATTTGCTTGTAAGAATTGAGAGGGAACGACAAAGGGAGCTCGATTGTTTGGTGGAGCATCGGGCTGTCTCTGATTTTGCTCATCGAAACCGCATTCAGGTCAGTTGTCTCATGAAGATTGTTTAATAATGTCATTTTAAACATAATTCAATTTGCTCCAGTGGTGTGGTTGATATTTAAAAATTGTCTTTATCAATGAATGTGATTTCTATGATTGTAGTTTACAGGATTTTCTAGAATACTTAAAGTTTGTGCTCAGTAATTTGTCTGGCTTCTTTAGAAGATCAAAATAACTGGGTACAATTGTTGTCATTTGAGTTGCAGATTAAGTCCGCATATTATGTTTATGATCCCATTTTCTATGATGAATTATTTTTTATGTTTATGATCCCATTTTCTATGATGAATTATTTTTTCTGGTCCTATTTGTATCCTTGTATTAGTGGATAAGGATGAGCCAGAGGCCCAGAACTTATGTTTCAAAATGGAATGAGTTTTCTTCTTTCTCTGATATACCTTGCTTCTGTCTCAGTGGGAGATATGGGCTTATTCTTAAGTGTATCATTTTGGGTGCTATATCCGGTTGCAAAGATACCATTGTATTCACTTGGCTTGCTCCCAAATTAGAATGTACACCCTGCAGCATACATTTCCAAATTAGAATGTACACCCTGCAGCATACATTCGCTTATCCGAAATTGTATTGCTATAAGGTGCATGATGATGTTATGTTAATATGAGAAGAATAGCTATTAGTTATCCCCTATCTTTTCCCCCTTTTCGTATTCATGCATATTTGTAAGGTGTTGTTTCCTATTTATGCCAGTTCTCATCACCATCGTCTATAACATAGACATACTACAAGTTGCATTGATGATATCCCAACATAATGGAATTGTGTATTTCTTTCTGGCTCTGCTACCCAAAAATTTCCCTTTATGACACTGTAGAGATTAAGTTTCCTGCATAAATGGGCATGATTTGGCTACTAATATAATTAAACATTTCCAGTCATTACTCAGAGGTAGATTCCTGCGCAATGAAAGACCTGTTGAAGAAGAAAGACCACCTTCCATGGCTGCTGGTGAATTAGTCCAGTTGAGACAGCGACACACTGTTTCTGGTTTAAGGTATGTGATGTTTTTAGTCATGCCGTACGTCTTAAGATGCCAAATTTTTTCATCACTTCCTTTTTTTGTTCTTGTACTTAACATTGGTATTTATTTACGTTTATTATTTTGTGTAGACTCTTAGTAGTTCTGATTTTGAAAAGCTATCTATTTAATGAGAAAAATCTAAGGGAACATAGCATACTTTATGTTTTTCATCACTTCCTTTTTTTGTTCTTGTACTTAATGTTGGTATTTTTTTTACGTTTATTATTTTGTTTAGACTCTTAGTAGTTCTGATTTTGAAAAGCTATCTATTTAATGAGAAAAATCTAAGGGAACATAGCATACTTTATGTTGTCTTGAAGGAACACATTTATCATCTCTTTGTCATTTCTCTCTAGTTTTGTTGTTGAATCAATTTACTACATTATATGAATAATTTGGTTGAGGTTAGAGAATTCCTTTGTGAACACATTTATTTATTAGTATTTGTAGGAGATTGTCCTTTAAGTCTACTGTGCTGCGTAGAAGCATTACTAGTGATGGGTTTGTGGGGGTGGGGGAGAAGCACAAGATTTCTAGATGGATGGCCATTACTTTAAGCATCCGTTTTTTCTCTGGGTTTCAAATAGAACAGATAAAGTCTTATAGACGAATAAATATGCATCAGTATTACATATTAATGAGTGGCTATGCTATAAGGCTTGCAATTGCTTTATAATATTTCTTCCTGGGATAATAATAAAAATACAGAATAAATATGAGATACTCGTTTGATTTGCCTTACTCTTGATTTTACTTTGGTTTACTTTATCGTTTGGGTTTTAATGCTCCAGTTATATCTTTTGAGTATTTTTTATTCCATTAAGTGAATGTTGATAATTTTTTGTTGAAAGACAAACAAGAGTTGTGGATGTTAGTTGTTTGCATAATGACAAGTTTGTTTCCTTGTTAGGGAAGGGTTCCGCTACAGATTAGAAAATATTGTTCGTGGTCAGGTTGGCAGCCAAACCGATTCTACGATTAACAGTAATATTAATGAATCTAGAAGTGAGCATACTCAAACAAATGCTTCACAGGATGTCCAACAGGAAAGTAATGATCAATTGCAGCCTGGTAGTCAGGCAACTGACATCAATCAGTTGCCTGATCAAATGGGAAGCTTGGAGAGCAACACTACTGATGAGCGTCAAGATTGGCAAGAAACTGCTAATCAAGGAGGGAATTGGCAGGAACCAGTTGTTGAAGATGAGACACGAAACTTGGAGCAGCCAACTTTCGGTCAGTTGAATGAATGGAGAAATGGTAATGCCGAAGATACGGCTGAAAATTGGCCAGGAAATTCAGTCAATAATTGGCCTGAGGAAACACCCAGAAATGTTGATGGAGAAGCAGATCATCGACAAGAAGCCCAGGGAATTTGGCATGAGAATGGTACTCGGGATGCTGTTGGAAATTGGACCGAAGGGCCTTCTGGTCCCATGAGAAATCGCCGTTCAGTTCCAATTAGAAGATTCAATAGATTTCATCCGCCAGAGGATGATAATGTGTACAGCATGGAACTCAGGGAACTTCTGAGCAGGTATTTGATTCTTGTAGATTGATTATATGTACAACATAAACTTATTATTTGGTTCTTTTTATGATGGTTATGATTTTCTATATTGTAGGAGAAGTGTCTCTAATCTTCTTCGGAGTGGGTTCCGTGAAAGTCTGGACCAACTGATTCAGTCATATGTTGAAAGGCAAAGTCATGCTCCCATTGATTGGGATTTGCATAGAAACTTGCCAACACCAATTCCAGCTTCACCAGAGCATGATCAGGAGCAACAGCGGGATGGGCAGAATGAAGATCAACACGATGCCATTAACAGACCTTCACTTGTTCTACCATCTCCACCAGTGCCCCCACCACAGCCATTATGGCACCAGGACCTACATCACACAGGCTGGTCTCGTCATAGCATGCATCGTTCAGAAATTGTGAGCAATCTTCTCTCTTAATGCAGCTTTTTTCAGGCTTTCCGATCTTTCTCTCAAAATTTTAGATGTGGCTTACTATACATAATCGCGATATTCTATGATTGTGGCTTTTAAGGTTTTATACCAGGTTAATAAATATAATATATTATTTCCCTGTATTGAATTTTTAATATATCAATAAATATATTAGTATCAAATATCTATTATACGGATACTATTATTATTATATGTATTAATATTTGATTTAAAGTTGCTATATTTTTATTTTGCATTCAAAATGTATAAGAATTCATAGTGTATAGAGTAAAACTATATATAATTTGAAATAGAATTCTAATTTCTATTTATAATTCATTTTATTGGTCATTAAGTAATTGGGACCTCAGTAAGATATCACTTCTAGGATTAAATGACACATGTTTTCCTTTTTTCACTCTTTCATTATCTCTATTAATTAATGAAACCTTCTTTGTCAACCAAAAGAGGGTGAAAAGATTACTTAGTCTTCTATCACACAAAAAAAATGATGGGCAATAATGTAATTTCACAGGTCCAAATTTTACTATTTTTTATTGAAGCCTCATCTATAGGTGATGTTAAAATACCTCCAATATTAAAAAAAAAAAAAAAAAAACCTCCCACTCCCCCCAAGTTCTCTCTCTCTCCCTCTCTCCTCATTTTCTAAAAAAATATGTTCATACACACAAAGTGTGTAGGCAAATGCTAGTATTCCATTAGTAATTCAATTTAGTCCATTTATAATTTCTGTTTGTAATTTATTTTATTCCATTACTTCTTGTAATACAATGTGTTGTAGTTGCTATCTTTAGACATTCATAATACTTAAATATATTTGGAAATTATCGAACTTTTTACAGACTTTTAAGGGTCTTTCATTGCTAAGACAGCATACCATAACTAAACTACTTGTAACAGTATAAAATAGTACAATGTAAAGTCATATAGTGTATTGTGCCTGATTAGTTGATGATTGATGCAAACTGGTGTTGGAGTGGATTTTCTATCCCGTGTCTATTTTTTTCTTTTTCTTTCTTTCTTTTGCTTTCTCTGAATGTGGATTCGTACACGAAGCAGGAATGGGAGATGATTAATGATCTCAGAGCAGACATGGGTAGACTCCAGCAAGGCATGAGTCACATGCAGAGGATGTTGGAGGCCTGCATGGATATGCAATTGGAGTTGCAACGTTCTGTTAGACAGGAAGTCTCCGCAGCTTTGAATCGTTCATCTGGTGAAAAAGGTTGGTTTCAGGTTCAATATGTTAAATGACACAGAAACACGTTTGTTTCAAGAATCTGTGTGTGTGTGTTCAACGAAACTGTATGCATGCGGTCTCTGCCTCCATTAAAGCTGCATTTTAATCTTGGGGTAATTCATATGAAAGATGCTATCACTTTGCAGGCTTGGGCGCTGAGACATCAGAGGATGGGTCCAAATGGGGTCATGTGAGAAAAGGGACCTGTTGTGTTTGTTGTGATAGTCAAATCGATTCTCTCTTGTACAGGTATATTGCTTGTAACCTCGATACATTTGATTTTGATGGTGTTGATGACTATCATTTTGTAATAAACTGTTTTGTGTGCCTTTTGTCCCTTTTTTCTTTCGTGTGCAGATGCGGGCACATGTGCACTTGTTCAAAGTGTGCAAATGAGTTGATTCGTGGCGGAGGGAAGTGCCCACTTTGTCGAGCACCGATTGTTGAGGTGATTCGAGCATACTCCATACTGTAAATTTAACTCTTAACAGGAAAGAAAAGAAAAAAGGACAAAAATATAAACTGAATAGAATGACCGGAATGGTGGAAAGGGGGGAGACAGTGGTTGTTCCATAGGATGAAGATGAATGGGAAGCTTCTGTGGTCCTTTTCTCTGTAGAGTGTTTTACTAGTTTCCGATGTTTCTCTGATTATTTATGGAAATTCGAATGCGTTGTGTAATTAGAATAACATATGGCACTCTCGATTCATCATTCTTACGTAAATAAAATCTTCTCTGAATTTTTTCTTTTCGCGTGTTTCGCTCCCCCCCCCCACCCCGGGGTTGGTTTTCAGCTCTAGCTATCATATGCAAGCATAACTGTGATTAGTAAAATTGGTACAAATTTTTACAGTATGGTAGGGCAGAGAAAGTGGGGCAGGTGAGAGAATAAAACGGGGACTTGGTAAACGTAAGATAATGTGTAATTACTGTATTAACTTTAGTTTTTAAATGAATTACTTGTAAATTATTTACTTTCCAAAGATTTATTTCTTAACAATAGCATAAAAAATAAAAAAACAGACCAGAAAAAAAAGGCAGAATGGGATCTTGTTATCTTTGTACTGAAGCTTTAGGTTTGATGATTTTCGTGTAAGGATTATTCTCCCTCCTTGTAAAATTCTAAAAATCTGCTTCTGGAAATGTATCCTTGACATTTTATCAATGAGTGGCTTCTTGTCTTTCCCTCTTCTATATTGCTATAATCTCTGGTACATGCAGAGTGATTTTCCGGAGTACCTGAAAAAGAGATTTTTCGGTATACCGGAAAAGTGGTGAGCTTTACAAAACCAAACACCTATATTTACATCATGGATTAAAAAAGAGAGCTTGCTTCGCTCCTTGCAGCATATTACAGTTCAAAATCTGCAAAATCAACTCATTAAAACCAAAAAAGAAATTAGAGTTTTGGTTCCTGTGCTTCTGATCTCTGAACTACATGAGTATTTCCTTGAGCTTGTCACAACTTGAGACAATGATCATTTTGGGTAACCTGTTTTAGTTCGAATCAAAATAAAAGCTTTTAGAGCAAGATAAGCGACATAAGTTCTAATGGAGTTACTCAAAAGCTTTTAGGGCATGAAACCATTTCCATCTTATTAGTTTCAGTTTTATTTAATTACCACAGGAAAAAGTCTTTTTATGAATTTGTACATCCAATTCAATCTTCCTGAGCCATCAAACCCGATCAAATTGAATTGGTCTGGAATGGCATCATATACCTTTTCTACGTGGCTTTGACTAATTTAGGAAGCAAAAAGGCAACTTATGGGTTCCAATAAAACTCTGACCAAATAAAAAAAAAATGTTGTAAGCAAATGAAGCTTTACCGCAGTGGCGGAAAGCAATAATACTTATACAACTGGTGCGGTTTTGATCCCCTTTCACCTCTACCATTTAATCCAGTAATGCTATTGTTTGTAAAAAAAAAAAAAATGTTGTAAACTTGTCTCATTCTTGATGTCCTCATTCTGAAATTATAAAAAAACTCAATAAACTAACTAACTAATCCGGATTATTATACTTGTATGACATTGCAAACCATAAAGGTCAATATGGTTTGAGAATGTAGTCACCAAATGTGATCAACTTGACAATTGAAAGCCAGTTCAATATTCTAACTTAACGCCCTTCTACTTTCGCATATTTGAGGCTCTTTTGGAATTAGAATTCGCGCATTTCTCGTAACTTTGTGTCTAGTGACAGTACCTGCTTGTGTTCATGTGGATTTGCTTCTATTTCCTTGGACCACAGACTAACCAAACAGAAATCAGAGTGAGACGGAAGCATGGACTGGTGTATGACAGATGAACACACAAAATTTTGCACCTACTACTTTGAAATAGTGATTACGTGTTATTAATCCGTAATCTCTCTCTTAATTTGGGCTTTATATCTGTAATTGGAAAGTTCAATATTACTGAGATTCTTGATCTTTCACACATTAAGGATCCGTTCCTGTGGCCTGAGAACTTTGAATATCGCCATGCTGCTGCATGTTACCGACCAGAATCGGAAAGAGTCACGCATAAGAGATAACCAAAACAGAAACAGTCACTAATCTTCGCAATGTATGCGTCTGTGCCTACCTTGTATTGGCAATCTGGATGCTTCTGTAATTCATCCTTTTCTACTTTCAGTTTCTGACTGGATGAAAAATGTCCGTGTCAACCTTTCACTGTAATTTTAAAATGTATTAATCAAATTTGATAAGCCCGTACGGTTGGTTAGTTTTGTTTTTAATCGTACTAGATAAATGAGATAGGACATAGATAAGCCAAGCACTGGATCGATCGAAGAAGTTATGGTTTTGGGTTAAGACATACAAGGAAAACCTGTATTGTTAGACTTAGCCCACCCAGGTTAGTGGGTAAGAATTTAAAAGTTTATTAAAAGTAAATATGTGGGCAATAATTGAAAAAAAATCTAGGGGTTTTTTTTTTCCACTTAAAAAAATAAAATAAATTAAAAGATTTAAAGTTTTATTAGAAAACTATTATTAGCACTCTAAAATTTTAATTATACACTCCTCATAAGAGTATTTTTTTTAAACATAGAATGTTAGAGTGCACATAAGGGGTGATGTAGTCAAATTATGATTTGAAGAGATTTTAATAGACTATAAATCAGGATGTAATCAATTAAGATTTTAAAAGAGGATTTTAAAAGAGTTTGAAATCATGGTGTAGTCAAATTAGGATTTAAGATGATTTTAAAGACTACATCCAAATTCATGGTTAATCAATTATGATTTTAAAAAAGTCCACCCAAATCGAGCTGCCACCAAAATCTAGGTGTAATGAGAATACCAAAGATTTGTTAGGATCTTAATGAATGATGGATTTTGATGGATTTTACTGTGGGTGATATAAATACCAAATGCCATAAAAAACCTAACCACCCCCTCTGATTTCTTTTCACGTTCATCACAAAAGTGGAACAATCTTCCTCTCTTAGATGTCTTCCTCTATCCTTCATGGTATTCATGCTTTTCTCTTCCCAATTTGTATAATTCTTGTATGATTGATTTGTTGCACAACCACACTGGTACTTAATAAACATATAGCTCCCTTACTTCCTTCTCACACACATATATCTATACATATAATATCACAATTCCCGAGCTTCACCGTGATAGTAGAAATGATGGATTGCAAAGAATGTAACAATGTTGCAGAGAAAACAACAAATGAAGAAAGAAGAACAATTCTTAGAGAGAGAAGGAAGAGAATTATGGGTTGCATTTCTGTATTGCTTTCGTAATCTGTTCAGAATTATTACACTTGTTTATATAGCCACACATGCCTTACACCAAGCTATCTATTTTAACAGAACTAACCACCTAACAGCCTTTCTGTTAGCAGTGTTAACAAACTAATAGCTACGAACAGTTTTCTTAAACTTTAACAGTCACTTAACAACTTACATCATTCATCATCCCTCCTCAATCTCAACTGGGTTCCGCAACTTGAGATTTAAGCAATGCTTGACAAAAGTAGGAATGTGAAGACCTTTAGTAAGCACATCAGCTGTTTGTTCATCAGTTAGGACATATGTAACTTCCAAATCTCCTTGTTGAACTCTTTCTCGAATTAAGTGATAATATGTGTTAAGATGTTTAATTCTTGAATGAAACACTGGATTTGCACTTAATGCAATAGCTGACATATTGTCACAAAATAACACAGGTGGCTTAGGTAGAAAAACCTCCAAGTCATTCAAAATATTCCTCACCCAAGCAATATCATAGCACTAGAATCCTAACTTTGAACTGTATTGATAACTGATTGTGATTGTTGTACTCTTGGAATTGGCATTTGAAGCATAGTAGGAACTTGCTTATTCGAAACTGAATTACACTTATCATTTTTCTATGGCTTCACTACAGACTTAAATGGAAAGACATATTCATCATGTATAACATGTCTTGACACTATTAATCTTCCAGTATGTTGTTTATAGCAAATCACCCCCTTATAACCAATGGAAAATCTAGGGCTGGGATTGATTCAAATCGGTTCGGTTTTTTGTCAAAATCGAAACCAAACCGAAATTTTGGTTCGGTTTACTTTTTTTTTAGTTCGGTTTAATTTCGGTTTGGTTTCAGTTCAGTTTCGGTTTTTTTTTCTTCGAAAAAATGAAAAAGTTTGAAATATAAAATTTTAACATCTTCAATACAATATTAACATAAGCATTTCAACTAGAATCAAAGACAATGAAAATAAACATTCAAAGTTCAACTAGAATCCTCAATCAAGTCTTCTAAAGTCCAAACTTAAAATAAACATCAAAGTTTAAGTCTTCAAAAAATCCAAATTTAAAATAAACATCAAACTTCAGGTCTTCTACATCTAAAATAAACATAACAAAGTCCAAACTTTAAAGAAATATTCCACTTAACTAAAATCATAAATTCAAATAAACCTTCAAGGTTTCATGTCTTGCACACACTTCTTCTCTTCAAGTTCTCAAGCTCAAACGCTTGGGCGGCCTAGAAGGCAACATAACACCTTTCCTTGAACTTCCACATGCCAGTTCTACATACAAAATAAAATAAGAAAAAACATTATTTTGATACAAAAATGATATTAGGGACCTGGGGGAGGGGGGGAGCAATAGAAAAGGGTAGAAAAATCCACACTTTGATAAATTTCAACTAAATTTCAATTAAATAGCTACTAATCCATCTAGACACAACGAGCATATCAGACTTTATAAGGTGATATTAGGGATGGTTGTAAGGTCCCCGACGTAAAAAATCCAATGAGGAGTTGTAAGGGGCCCCTTACACTGATTGATTGCTTGCTCACAAATAGATTTGGATGGTCAAAGCTCTTAAATTTAGCAAACAAACATGTACCACTTGAGCCCTCATATCTCGACATTATAAATAACCAATCATTATATGTTAAACACATTCTTAATAGATTATACTTATAGCGTCATTCATGCATCTTATATCATAACTTGAACCAAAACCTCTTGAATACATAAAATTCAAACTTCCATTGAATTGCTTATTGTGTGACTATGCCTTGTTACTTTTTTTTCTTTCAAGATATCTGTTAAGACTGTTATATCCATTGATTCATACTACATAAACCATGTAAAAGTGATTCTTTGAATAAGCCAAATAGTTGTGTTATCTGTGATCTATATGAACAAACGAGATGTGCTTTTCTTTTGTTATAAGCACTAAGTAGTTCAAAATGCATACATAGCTGTAAACGTGGTTTACAATCAAATTCTTCTAATTCATAACAATAGTAAGCATTACTATATGACCAACGAAAACTACTAAAAATATAAGAAAATCGCAAAACCCATGAAATTGAAAAGCTGCAGAACTCATAAAATTGAAAATAAAATCTGCAAAACCCATGAAATTGAAAAGATAATCTGCAGAACATGAGAAAAATTACCATGAGACTAACCTTGCAAAGGAAGTCGAGGGTTGAGACTCGAAACGGCGAGAGGAAGTTGCGGGTCATGGGGGTGAGAGACTAAGAGTTTGAGAGTGAGACAACAACTCTTGCAAATCAACAAGGTGCGACGAAGGTCGCAGGTTACTAGGAAGGAAGAAGACGAAGACTGATTGAGAGCGAGTGGTTCACACGGAGTGGTGGAGGCTGGGAACTTAGAATGAGATGGTTCAGAGGCAACGGAGGGATCGATGTTTATGGTTACCAATATAAATGCAAGTCAGAAAGACTGAAACGAGAACAAACGACACCATTTCTAGCCATGAAAATTATTAATTAATAATTAATTATAAAATGATGTTGTTTTGACAACACTTCGGTTCAGTTCGATAAAAACTGAACCGAACCAACCAGGTTCGATTCGGTTTCTTTTGGCCTCGATTCGATTTTTGGTCTTGTTTTTTTTTTGTTTTTAATTTTTCGAACCCACCCCTAGGAAAATCCCTGAAATAAACATTGACTTGATCTAGTTTGTAATTTGTTACTATTGAATGATCTCAAGATAGGATACCATGCAGACCCAAAAATCTTGAACTGCTGAACTTCAGGATTATGATAAAAAACACGCTGATATGGAGATTTCATCTTTAGCACCTTACATGGCATCCTATTAATCAACAAAACCTCATATGAACATGCATGATACTAGAACCTTGAAGAAAGATTAGCTGGAGACATTAATGTAACTGCAGTTTCTACTACATGCCTATGCTTCCTCTCAGCAATCCCATTTTGTTGTGGGGTGTGAGGACGAGAAATCATATGAGTAATACCCTTGCTTGCCAAAAAATCCACAAATACTTTGCTCATGTATTCCCCTCCACTATCATATTGCAAAACATTTTATAATAGCAATAAATTGATTTAACACAAAAAGCTTGAAACTTAGACAAAAATTGAGAAGGGTTATGATTTATTTGTCATGGGAAATATCCACATGAACCTTGAATATTCATCTACAAAGTTTATGTAGTATCTATAACCTTGTACAAATTGAATTAGAGTTGGACCCCCCTACATCACTGTGTATTTTCTCAAACAGATAACTAGCTCTATGTTCTCTACTAGGAAATGGTTGCCTACTCATTTTTCCTTGAATACAAGAAGAACATACAGTAGGATTCGTATCTATACTAGCATATATGTTTGCAGACTTCAACATAGCTTGTAAAACTTCCTCTGAAGGGTGTCTAAATCGTTGATGCCAAATTGAAGTATTGACCTTTTTGCTAATGAATGCAGCATATCTACTCAACTTTGTAGCAAATGAATCTGAAAATGTATTTACTGAAATTCTGAACAAATCCCCACCATCACTCCTTCCTTGATATAAAATCACCCTCGAGCCTTTGTCCTGTCTGAAAAACATCACATCATCACATATGAACCAACAATCATTATCTTTGCACAGTTTCTTAACAGATAATAGATTGACAGTTATCATTGGCACATGTAAAACATTTTTCAATATTAAAGATTGATTTGAGGAAGGAGTAATGTTAGAGGAACCAATGATTTTGACTATTAAACCTTCACTATTGGCTATGATAATCTTCTCATCTCCATTGTATGGTGCAACTTGATTTATGTTGGTAACATTGGCAGTCATGTGGTGTGTTGCACCAGTGTCCATAATCCAAGTTTCAGCAACATTGAATCCATTGTCATTGACAACATTTATATTTACTTGCCTCATATTGGTTTGTGCAGATAAAGTTGTGAGAGAAAATGCTGGTGCATTACCTTGGTAGGAGAAATTGTTCCTATGATAACATTCAAGGGCAATATGACACCCTCTTTCCACAGATTTGACACATCACAAAACTTGAAAATTGTCCATTGTTGTCAGCTCTATGATAACAGTTTGGTGTAGTGTGTCCCCTCCTCGAACAAATTTAGCACTCATGTGAAATAACATTCTTATAGTTAGTATTGCCATTCCAAGATCCTCATTTTCGAGAATTGAGGACTTTTTCCATTTCCAAAATATGAATTACCTTCATTGTTCCCATTACCAGAAAGAGTTATTCCCAGATCTATTTGAGAAATTTCCAGAAAAAAGACTTTGAGTTATTGTTTCCAGAGTAATTACTTCCATTGTTTCCAAAAAAATTGCCTCAAATTCCTTCATTACTCCTATTGAATTTCCTAAGAAATTACCCCTTTGTTGAAATATGTTCCCATTACTCACATAACCTGATCTCCTTGAAAGTTTGAGCCATTATTATACCCTTGTGAATTTGAACTTTCACCTTGCTCATAATTTTGATTTCCTCCTTGAAATATGCTAGAGCTTGCCTCATATCCTTGTACATACATTGCAGACATAGAATTGGATAGTGACTGCATTCTAGACTCAATACTAGCTTATGCACCCAACAATTGTGCTCTGAAATCTTTAAGTGACATTATGGAATCCCTTGCAAGAATCATTATCTTGATCACTTCAAAATCAACAGGCAGTCCATACAAAACAACAATGATATAATCATTATCTTATGTATTTTCACCAACAAAAATTAACTGATCTTTAATTCCCTTGAGTCTAAGCATGAACTTGTCCACAAAATCTCCTCATTTATGTGCAGTGTGAAATTCTGTTTTCAGCTGATTCACATAAACCATGGATACTGATGCAAATCTTTCCTATAGGCAGTTCCAGGTTTCTTGTGAACTCTTGCATCCAATGACATGTTCCATGGCATCATCAGAACGAGTAGCAATGAACAGACTTAACAATGCAAGATCATTCTTTACCCAATTTTGTACACCGTAGTGATTTCCTTGGTGATTACAGTTTCTATATTGATTACATACTTTGGTGGACATGGCGAATCTCCATTAAAGAAATCAAACAAATCATAACCTCTCAAAACAAATTGAAATTGAAAACTCCACTTCAAAAAATTATCATCTTGAAGCTTAACTGTAAGCATTCCCAGCAACCCCTCAATCTTCATAGATTCAGACATGATGATATTTCAAGAATCTTGCAACAAAAGAATGCAGATTATATCCAATAAGCAACTAAAAATCCCAAGATTTATCAAATAATACACTTTGGCTATTAGCCTTACAGAAGGATTGCAGAAATGAAGGATTGCAGAGAATGTAAGAATATTGTAGAGAAAACAACAAATGAAGAAAGAAGAACAATTCTTAGAGTTAGAAGGAAGAGAATTATAGATTGTATTTCTGTATTACTTTCGTAATATGTTCAGAATTATTACACTTGTTATATAGCCACACATGGCTTACACTCTAAGATATTTGTTTTGACAGAACTAACCACCTAACAACCTTTCTGTTAACAGTGTTAACATACTAACAACTACTAACAGTTTTCTTAACAGACTTTAATAATCACTTAACAACAACCTACATCATTCATCATTCCAAATTCATGTTTTTGAATTTATTATTTTTCAATTGTATTGGTTCTCTATTTGATAGCAGGAAAAACCATGAATTTATGCAATGAAAAGAGAAAACCTAGAAAGTTAAGCTACCGCATTGCACTTGTGTGAGGAACCTTGGATATTTTGTTCCAAATAATTGAAAGGAGCTTGGATAAATTTACTGAGTTTTCATTATTTAGTAATATATACCCGTGGTTTGCGAGAATTCAAGAATTGTTCTTTTTTATTGGAAATATATTTGGGTTTAGTTGTTAATCTGTGTTTAGTTCTCCATTGTCATTAGCTTACAAAATTCTGAATGGTTTTTCATCACATTCCATGTTATTCTTCATTGTTTAAACTATAGATCTTTTGCAAGAACAAAATTGAAGAAGAAACTTTATGAAACCATTAAGTATTTAGTGATGGCAATTCAAGTCATAGTCCACGTGCTAAAAGAGTTTATAATCACAAGTGGACAACCTATTGAATGTCCTTTAAATCGACGATTAACTACTATGGAAGGATGCAACTATATACATAAAGTATTGAAAGATAACCACCCAGAGGATTCGGCAAAGGCATAGAATGTATTCTGATGTGTTTATGAAATTATGCACTATTATTAAACAAAAAAACTCTTATGAGATACAGGACTGCAACCTAAGCTCTGATACCAAACTGACACACCCTAACCGGAGTCGAGACGTGCTGGCCGTCACGTGAGAGTGACGTAGCCAAGAACGCAAAGAGGAAGCGATAAAGAGTAAAAGAAATACTAACAATTTAAAACCAAGCGACTAACAATCCCAAATAAGAAAGGATGCTAGTGAGAGTCTAAGTGTATAATTACACTTTCAGAGCAATAAGAAGATCTAGTTGCAGTCAAGTAGGACAATTACTAAGACACAACACCCGAAGGTGAATCCTACTTTTTCGGATTCTGTCAGAACACCGATGGATTCCTCGTAGCCACCAAACTCTGCTATCTAAAACCTGGAGGGGCGAAAAACAAAGTTGAGTGGGCCAGTAAAACACATTTACATGAAAACCTTATTTTTCCTTTGAATATACTAACCCCTCGCCGTAAAACAAGTATATGGTTACTTTCCCAGAAAATAGAATACATAAATATGTATATAATTATATCATTTCAAATCATACTCAAAAATCAAGATTCATATTTGTATGTATGCCATGCCTATATATATAACAGAATAAGCAATTCAAATAAGAATAATTTCATAGAAATATAACATGTTAGCCGGAACCCCTGAGGTAGTCTATACGACTGAATTTCATAGCTCAAAAGTCACTCTAGCCGGAGTCCCTACAATGACCTATACGGCAATATACTGCACAATAGTCAGAACCAAATGCAAGGGTCTGTACGACGATAATGGGTGTAATAAAATTATGCTCAATACTTCTCTCACATAATAGCCAGGCGATAAATCGCTAGTCACCTACGAGTCAGAACCATAATTAAGGTCTGTACGACAAGACTGTGCACCTAAATTGGATCCAATGTGAGCATATGGTGCGGGAGGTGACATAGTAAACATGCATGTACTTCATATCGCTGGCTAAATCACAATCACCCTAGGTGCAGTTTTATGAGCTCAACATTATTCAATCACATATCACATCATTGACAATTCACATAACCAAAACATAACTTACCTGAGCTTACCTAGGCCTCTATAGCACCATGCAACAATATGCATAATTATGATAATGCATATGCTAAAATAAAAAATAGGCATTGGCATAGCATGGCATTTAAATCACATTTCCTTTTAAATACGATTTCTAGGAAAACGTCAAGTGTGTGTATATATATATATACTAAAAATAACTGTCCACTCATAGATATGTCGATGGGTCGTAACCCCCGAGTCTCGATTGATTACGCTCGTCCTGAGAATAGGCCTCACCTATAGGCGTAATAACCGAATAAACGTTATTTAACGCACATAACCAACAATAGGTAATAACTTCTCATATATTGCTTAAATTGGGCATATGAATATACCACAGTGACCTACACAACCTCAGGATCATCCCCAAATTTTTAGAATATTTTTCCGAGCTCCCATGCGCCGCCACGCGCCGGCCAAGGAATGGCCAGACGCGCCCCCACGCGCGGCTATGTGCCAGGCACATTGACGGCGTCAGTTAACGCCGTCAGGAATATTCTGTCGAATATTCTGTTTATTCCTTAATAAAACTTAACGGCGTGACCTAACGCCATTAGAATATTCCGTTAAACCTATTGGAATATTCTCTCATCTTCTACCTTCAGCTCCGGCGACCGTCGCCGTCGTCGGAAACTGGGAAATTTTCATTTCCTTATATCTTCTTCATTTTTAACCCAAAATTTATGAAACTTGAACCATTTTAAAGATCTCACAATGAAGAACAAAGCCATACCTGATTCGAGCTTTGAAACCCGCTGGAAAAAGCTTTGATAATCCGGCAAACCTTAAAACTCGTCGTTCTCACGATTTCGACGTCCAATTTCTTCAAACGAAGTACTTCGAGCTTCGCAAGGACCTCCTTAAGCTCCCTATGTCCTTAAAATTCCCTAAAAATCAACATTTTACGTGAGCATGAATAGTACCTCAAATCGGGTTTTGGGTAAACGATCAAGTCAATTTCCTGGACTGTAGGAAAGTCTTGGCGTCCATTTCGTCATGGGAAGAATTAGAAATGTATTGGAGGAAACTGGCGAAGTCTGTATCCTTGTAACGTGTAGGGTTTGCTTCGTCAATGAGTTTAGGTGATGGCCGAACTGTGCTCTTGAATGGCAGGCTGTGCAATGAAGCTACAGATATTCGAGACTTGCAAGAGTTGACCAGAACCCTATGGACCACGCTCTTGTATCTCCCATTGCTAAATATCTGCATTGCGTGCATCCCCAACAGTTCACCACACACACATATATATCAAACTCAATTTACTAATCCATATATATATGCCCTTAATTAGTTATGACATGATTAGTGTTGTTAATTGGATGACCGTTCAACCTAAAAAAGTGGGAATTAAAGGGCTAGTAATAATGTTAATCTGTTAGACAACCATGAAATTTAAAAGTTAAGTTCGTGAAAAATAGTCAGCATGACTGTAAATGAAGCAAGCCAACATTTGTAACTAGCTTGTGTTTGTGGAACTCAAAGAAGAACTTTTTTTTTGTGTACATGTGATGTCGACGTGGCACTACAAATCTATACAAATTATAACACGTAAACTGTGCCTAGGGTTCACCACTTTGGATTCAGCTAGGTTTCATTTACTAATACGTTATTTTGGGGAAATCAGTCATGTCCAGCCAAATAGTTGTAACTAGCTAATAAGGTTTCTGTGTCTCCAAGAGCTTGAAAGAAACTGTGTTATGATTGGTATGACAATTGGAAATCTTATAAGAGATGAATGCAGGGATCGATACAATATGTGATGCACCTATTCAATATCACATGCATGCTTCACGGTTAATTAATTGATAATTGCCAACCTCAAGATGATCACCAACATTGACAACGAAAGAATTTGGAAGTGGTTCCACGGTTACCCAACTTCCTTGATTCTGTATTTGAAGACCCCCAACTTCATCTTGAAGTAGAAGAGTGAGGAGGCCATAGTCCGAATGGGGTGGCATACCTAGTGTTAAATCAGGTTCAGGGCACGCAGGGTAGCAATTCGCCACAATGAGTTGGCTTCCATCTTCAAAATCCTCCAAACTGCCTTTACCCTCACCGCCTTTTGTAGCTTCCACCAATCCTAGGCTCTCCATGATGGCCTCCATTAGCATTAGATACAAAAACTTGGTGCTCTTCGAGTAGTTTACCACTGCTTCCCTATGCATATATAATGACATGATGTTTAAAATTCGAATTAGAAGTCGATTAAAATCAAAGTGATTGCATCCAAATATTATTAGGATGTACAGAAAAATCAATATAAGTAAACAAAACAAATTGAATATACAAATGTGTGTGTTACGTTAGCAAGTCGATGCATGACCAAAAAAATACAATCACTGGTTGTATATCTATGTCCTGATCTCTTTAATACAATAGTCGAATACAGCTCATGATAGAAATTTTTACTCATCAATGACTAACAGAACCCTAAACTTGAGATATATATGTGAGAAGAGAAGCGAAGAATCACCTTAAGTCCGCTGGAGAAGAAGGCCAACAGGACACAGTGTCTTGTAAAGGATGGCAGCCAAGTTTCAGAAAGTCTCTCCAGCAAAATACTTTATCATTGTTCTGGTTAAAGCTTGTTCCATACCTAGCTGGGGAAGAAATATCCTTTGACATGTACTTTGATCTCTCATTGAAAGGGAGCTCGAAAAATCTTCTGCTTACATCAATAATTTCAAGAATAACATCATCTTTGATACCATGGTTTATCAACTGCAGCAATAAAAATAATAAAAGGTTTATATTTAGTTTCATAAGTTTTGTCATATGACTGGTTATGCATATGGACCTATATATATATATATGTATATATTTAGGGTTCCTTTTCACAAAAATTTATGCGCTATTCAAACCAAGCGGGATCCCGTTAGAGAAGCAGAATTATATGACATGCATATGGACAATTATGCAACAACATGAACTAGATGATGATCACATTAAAGAAGGAAGGAACATGCATACGATTGAACATCTACCTGAAAAAACCCGAATTCTTCGCAAGCGTTTGCAAGGGACTCTATTACTTGGGATCTGTTGGACCCTTGCAACTGAGTAAAATCAATAACTGGCAACTTGAGGTTATGCTTGCTAGCATTCCCAGTGTCTCCCAAGTCGGGTCGTTCTTGGACGGGCAATATGTACTTGCTTGGAACCCTAGTCAGCCCTCTTTCACATAAATGTCTCACTCCCTTCTGGAGGTATTGGATTTCGGTTTCTTCATTTTCGATATTGTATGTACCATCAGCAGTACTATTTGAACCCATTTCAGGTAACATACAGATATTATCAAAGAGAGAGTTAATATATTTATAATACAAAGCAAAGCAATGGATGGCAAGAAGGAAAATATTGGGTGGCTTTGAACCGTTTATTTCCAGAGATGTGTGGAGAAGAAAAGGGGTGGCTGGGAAGCAAAAGCGGCGGGGGGGGGGGGGGGGGGGTGGCACTAGAGGCAATAAGTTAATGAATAATTTCAGAGGTGGTGTACTACTTAAAGGGAGGGAAAGAATAGACTTGTTAGAATTAGTTTTTGAGATATATACACGGCCTGGTCCCATAATATATATATATATATATATATATATATATATATATATATATTCCTTGTGCAAAGAGACCTTTGACCAAGTTTAGTCTGACCTTATATGTAGCAAAAAGATCGACACCTGAGTCTAAATCTTGAGGCGGTGGAGCATGACTGCTGGTGACGAACTTCGACAATCTACATGGTGGCCCGCGTGGAATTACAAAGTCAACATTTCTTAGGTCTACTGAAAGATTTTTTAATGTGACCGGCACACGAGGTGATATATAATGTGTTACTATACAAATGATGGGATGTGTGTGTTAAAAAGTTAATAACTTAAAAAGTAAAATTTCCTATCACTTACATAAAAACACGTGGTGTACCACCCGTGTTTCCATCACAATAAAAAATTTCTCTTTTACCAAAATTCTCAAATCGTACTGAAAAAATCCCGAAAAATTCGGTACTCAATCTTGAACTGATCCCGAAACTTCGGTACAAGAATCGGTCTCACAATCTGACTTTTTCGGTAATCCCAAACCAAACCAAAGTTAAAATATATATAGTTTTAGATATTATAGGCTGTTGGATTTCTAAGCATTTTGTCGAATGTGTGAAGGTTTGAGGATCCTTGGTTTCGGATTAGGATGGGTGCAGGTTTTTTGGAGGGTTTCAAGTTGGGTGGGTTCTTGTTTAGGGTGGGTGCAGTGCAGGAAGATGCGAATCTAACACGAATCGAGTCCCAAAATCCAGGTAAGGGTTTCTTATTTTCACTAGATTTTTGTTCTTTAGGGTTTAAGGTCAAATTTCATGTTGATTAACTTGATTTCTAAGCATTTTGTTGAATGTGTAAGGGTTTGAGGACTGAGGGTTTCGGGACTGATGAAATCAAGAAAGGTTAGTTTGTGATGATTTCTTATTAGCTGAGGCCTGAAAGCAGCTATGTTTTGGTGCATGATTCATGATTTAAGATGGTTCAATTGTTTAATATAGAATGATTCCATATATTAAGTGATGCATGCTTGCTGAATGTGGTGAATGGTGATCTTCTATTTTATGCAATTTGTATTCAAAGGATCCACAAATTGTTTTCCAATGCTATGTGTTATTTGTTTGTCATAGATATTGATAATCCTTTGAATTAATTAGAATGTCTGGCTCATCTGTTTCGTTTTTCTCTGCAGAAGTTCCCATCCTTTGAATTATTTCAAGATTCTTGATTTATTCCGAAATCCCAAAACTATCTCAGGATTCCCGAAATTTGGGATTTCCAAATATTTGGTTTTCCGAAAACTTCGGTTTGGGAATCGGGACAAGGTTTTCAGTTCGGTATCCCATACCGAACCAACCCTAGATATTTCCTATAGGCTTAGCTTCTAGCAATAAATCAACTTTGTCTTCCAACTCTTCATTTCTCAATCGTTGAAGTACTAGTTTAGTACTGAGGTGTTTTTTAAAAAAAGGGTATCAAAAAAAGTTAGGAGCATTTTTGTGTTTGGTAAACTTTCAACTTCAATTTTTTTTCACAATTTTGGATGAAAAAAGCCAAAAAACAGAAGCAGCAAAAGCTAGCTTTGAAAAACCGACTTTTTTTGCTTCCACAGCTTCTGCCCAAACCTAATTTGCAAGAGGCGCTGAGTCATTTAATGAAACTTTCAAATACTAAAAATGGCCTTAAACAATTAAATAAAGTACACATAATACCAACTAGAAGACGTCGCCGACTTTAATTGGGAGATCGTCCGCCACAACGTTGTTCACTCCCAGCTTCAACAATCACCGTTATTGACCTTGGATTCCATACCCTACGACATCGTTTCTGTCTCTATCCTTTCACCCATCTCTCGTTCGTCCTCTCTCACTCCCACGCCGACAAAATCGCGCCGAGAAACACCACCATCGTTTCCTGCGATAACCAGACTCGAATTTAGATTAGGTTTTGGCATCGTGGACTTGCCTAGATTTCTCAGATTGCACCACTTATAGGAGAATGATATTCGTATTTCTGCAAATTAGGAGAGCCCAGATTGCCCAAACGAAGAAAATGAGGAAGAAAAATGCAGTGAGACATGTGAGAGAGATTTAGGAACAACCCATTAAAGACGGCATAGTCACAGCGTTGGCGCCTTCGAAATCCATGGAGATGAAAATAAATAAGAAGAAGACGGAGCAGAAAAAATAACAACTAAGAAAATTGGGGTAGTGGAGGAGACTTCTAGAGAGATTTTTTTGGTTTTTGGGAAAGTCTAGTTTGATGCAGATGGAGAAAATAAAGGGGGAAGACTCTAGAGAGAGTATTAATAAATAAAATAATAAATAAAATTATTATTCTTTATTTTTTGTCAAATATAAATAAAATTATTCTTATTTTACATTTAATATCATACTCATTTTTGTCATTTGACATAGTCACATCAGCTTTATATAAAAGTTTACCAAACACCCTTACACTTAAAAGCACTTTTATAAAAAAAGTTCACCAAACACTCAACTACTTTATTTTACAGCTGTTGATTCTCACAGCACAGCAGAAGCAATTTTTTTTAAAAAGCACAGCAATACCAAACTAGCCCGAAGTAAATCATCTTTAAGGTAGAAAATTTTGAATCTTATATATGTATGATGAATGATGATGCCAAAACTAAGGCTTTGGTAACAACGCAAGGAAGTGGCTGATATTGACTGATGCTAGGGCTTGTTTGATATAATCATTTTGTTTTTAATTTTTCTGAGGAAATTTTTTATGAAAAAGGAAGAATGAACAATATCAAAAGAATGTCATGAAATGAAAACTAGAAAAACCAAATTCAAAACAATTCTACGTTGTTTTCACTGTCAAGTTGGTTTTCATATAATCTTCTTCATTTCTCCCATTAGACCATTAGACTGATTGGTAGCTACCATTGCAATAAGTAATTGGGCAGTTGTAGAATTTTCAACAATGATCTCTTCAGCAAGTAACTAGAGGCGAAGCTATGTAGGAGCGAAGGGGGGCGTTCGCCCCTCCGCTCGCCGGAAAACAAAGGCAGGAGCGACGCTTGAATCCCCCTAGTTCGGCCGGAAACTGGGGAGCCCCGGGTTCTGAAACCAGAAACAGATAGCTCTCGGGGAAGACGATCGGGAGGGATTTTTTTAAATTTTAAAATCCAGGCCAAAACGACGTCATTTTGGGCCTGGTAAAAAAAAATTAAATTTTTTTGGTAAACGACGTCATTTTGGTTGAATGAAAAAAAAAATATATATATAAACGGGGGACCACTGGTCCCCATCCATCCCCATCTCAATCCCCATTCTATTTCAAATTAAAAACCCTTAACCCTATTCCCCATATCCCATCCCGTCAGTCCCCCCACCCCACCTTTTCCCCCCTTTTCCCCACCCCACACGACAAAACCTTCTATCCTGTAGCAGATTTCACTTTCCATTGGCAGACACATCAGTCTGCAACTGCAAGCACATCTGCACAGCCACTCCAAATTCCAATTAAGGTAAAAAAATTAATTTATTTCAAACCCTAATTGATTATTGAATATAAATTTTTGTTTAATTGATGTAGGATTATAGGGTTATACATTATAATTATATGGTTATTGATTATAGATTATTCATATGAATACTATGATTATTGATTTTTTTTTTTGAAGTACATAAAAGAGGACTGATACATTATATATACATTAACATAATGAACCCCAATTCAACTAACTAAAACCCTCATTCAAATGCATTGTTGGTACTTATTAATTACATTCGTAGTCTACATACTCTACTGTAGAATAAAAATTGATTATTCATATGATATGATTGTTGGTACTGATTAATTAAATTCGTAGTCTACTCTAGGACTAAGAGTCTAAGATATATTTGTTTTTCTTTCGTTATACAGTTACGTAATGGAACGATATTATAAGAAACAGTGCTTAAATCCTTCTCCAAATATTCCGGATAGTCCTCCTCTTCCTTCAAATATTCCGGGTAGTCCTCCTCCTCCTTCTAGTATTCCGAGTAGTGCACAACAAAGTGAGATTACTGAGTTGGATGAAATATTAGCTAATCTTACGGCAGACCCTGGACTGAGACGTCGAATGCTTGATTATCCACTCAATTGTCGTGAAGCAATTCGTAGATACTACCTTCAAAAGGAACCTTGTCAACCTAAGTCTCACATCATGCCAAGGAAAGCTAACGACAATCGATGTTTTATTACAGGTTGGTTTGATAATTTTAAGTGGTTGGAGTATAGTATAGTAAAAGATGCTGCATTTTGCCGTTATTGCTATCTTTTTAAATGTGATTTTGATAAAGTGGGTGGTAGTGGAAGTGATGTCTTCACTACAAAAAGGTTTACAAATTGGAGGAAAGGACCCAAAAATTTTCGAGTCCATGAGGGAGGTGTTGAAAGTCTTCATAATAAAGCTATGCAACAAGCTAAAGACTTGATGACCCAAAAACAACACATTGAAACATTTGTGATCAAGCAAACTGATGAAGCTCGCGTTAATTATCACACTTTACTGAGTGGAGCACTTGATTGCACAAGATGGTTGTTGCGACAAGGTTTGGCTTTTCGTGGGCACAATGAATCTTTGAAATCGAGCAATAGGGGTAATTATATAGAGCTTATGCAATTTCTTGCCGATCATAATGAGAAAGTTAGAAAGGTTGTGTTTGAGAATGCTCCCAAGAATCTCAAGTATACTTCTTCCGATATTCAAAAGGATCTTGTTCGTGCTTGTGCTATTGAAACTATTAATGCAATCACTAAAGATATGGAAGGTACATTTTTTTCTCTTTTGGTTGATGGATCACGTGATGCTTCCAATAAAGAGCAAATGGCGGTGGTATTGCGTTATGTGAACAAAAAAGGAGAAGCAATTGAAAAGTTTTTGGGTGTTCAACATGTCTCCTCTACAACTA